AATAGAGTACTCCACATTCCTGAAAGAGACTTTTCTCCTTGTTTTAATAGTCTTTCATTCCGTGAAAATGCACGTGTTGTGTGAATGCAAAGCCTACTTCCCACATTTCTGTTATGAATTCAGTATTTCTGATTTTTTTTTGTGATATTGAAAGAACAGATATTTTGAAATTTAAGCAACATGAGGTAGGGTAATCACATTAGTTTGTAGACGTGTAGCAGGCATCTGCTTAGCTTGAAAGGTGTTGTTTTCAACTTTTGTATTAACTTGGTTTTCAGCTGATTCTTTTCATTATATGTTTTAGGTTTTGCTGCATCTAGCATAATGGCATGGGAGAAAAATGAAAAATAAAGTAGTAAAAAATTAAGATATCCCTCAGGAATAGTTTCCATCTATTGTAAAGTTTGGACAAGGTTCAGTGGATAGTGGTATGCATCAGCATTTAACTGTGGAATGAACAACTTTTCATTTGTTGGCGTTGCTGTTACCTGGGATATTTGGCTTTGAAACAAGAGTAAAATATCTTTTAAGATTTAAATATCTAGAATATACATATACATGCTACATGCTTATTAGATTACACCCTCCTTTTTCCCTTCCTTGCAGTTGATAAACTGCTTTAAAAGACAGTGAAATTAACTGAATATTTTTGGCACTTTGCTGTAAACCTGTTGCCTCAGCTCATTTTCTGCATGTATTTGGGCATTGGAGAAAGTATTAACACGCTGTGGTGTTGACCTGTGAATTATGAAATATCTCAGAGATTCATCAAACAAAATAATAAGATGAAATGTCCTCACTTGATACATGGAAGTTGACATCATGAGCATGGATAAACTGAGCATAGTTTGCAATTATGTGAGAAATTCCAGAATTTTAGTGATGTTATATTTGCATAAAAGGCATTTGTTGTAGTACATTTAGGGGATTTTATTCCAGTCTTAAAAATAACTAACTTATTTTTAAGATGAGGTATTTTTACAGTGATAAAACTGCCATCCTTGTTAAGGAATGAATGACACACAGAAAAAGGAATCATATAAATGCATTTTTCTTCATTTCAACTAGCAATCTGAGAGAAGTTCAGTAATAGAGACATAATTCAGGTTAAGGATTGTTTTCTGCAGTAGGATACATTATGGAAAAGCTTGCTATCACATTTGGAAAAGTAGCAGTACATTTTTCTCTGTACCAGTTGGCAGAAAAAAAAAGAGAAATAGCTGTTTAATAATTTGCAGGAGTGGGTCTGGCACAATTTTAAGAAATTGCTCTAAGCACTTGATTTAGTCGAATGGTAAGAATCATGTGAATGATATTGCCATATCTTTGGAGTGCGTTAGCATTTTTTGTTTCCAGATTGATGATCCCTCTTAAAATAAAGTCGAAAATGCCTATTTCTGAAGAGTGGCTTTAAATAATTCACTTTGTTTTATTTCCAGACAGAGAGGGAGAGAGAGATTGTGTTCATGTGAATGCAGTTGTAATTATTTTATTGAAATTCAATTAAGTTAAGCTTTTTTTCTAGGAAATTGCCTAACTGTTGGTATAAAAAATATGATTTCTATTATGTTCGATATCAAAATTTCAGATGCTGGAATGACATATGTAATTGTTTATTTTCTAGAATACTTTGCCTTTGGATGAATAATATGTGGATAAGAGCCTTTTGCTGGGAATATTAAGAATTAATTTTGAAACACAGTAGAGGGTATTTCTTCTTGTTTATATTTTGGTACTACTGTTGTGAATTGGTATGTGTGGAGAAGCAGCCAAGCGGTTCCTATTGACAGGAGGACATTTATGCAACCTGTAATTAATGGAGGAGCTGACATCACCTTCAGTGTTGGCCTTTACCAGTTGACTCTAGTTCTAGATACACTTTTAGAAGCAATACACAAATACCTGCTTGCTCATATTTAAAGTCTGTATTCTCCTGCGTATATGAGAATGAATCCTCATCTCGTGAATCTAAAAATATGATTTAAATTTGTTTTGGGAAGGAGAAAATTGGTAAGCAAACCAGTAAAAGTCTTATAGCATTACAGAACACTATTCGTGTCATCTGAGACTATTTATTATTTATTATATTGGATATAGTGTTAGTACTTATTAAAGTATTCCTTAACTTAATCTTTAGAAAATGTAACTCTTTCTAATGGCTATTCATTTATATGTTATAACCAGTGTAAAAATACAGGAAATACTTGGCCTATTTTGAATCAGATATATGAGATGATCCTGTTTGTTTAGATGGGAAGGAAAATAAAGGCTTTTGGAAGAATTTTATTTTTCTTTCATAAATTTCAATTGCTTTCCACTGGCAGTGGTAGGAGAAATGTAGGGCATTTGGTATTTATTTATTTGAGATTTTGTTTGACATATTGTATGCTAGTTTGCTGTGTATTGGAACGTGTGTATTCGTTGATTATATATACAGTAATTTCCAAATGACTTTATATATACATTTATTTTTTAATTTATTTTTTGCTTATTAAACATTAAGGAGACTGTAGTTACCTATACTCTGTCTGACGTTATGGGTTATAAAAAATGCTGCCTTTCAGCATAGTATTGTCTCTTGAGTTGTGCCTAACATCCGTCTGTGGGATTGTGATTTAAAGAGTATGTACACACACACACACACACACACACACACAGAGTCTGAAGGTTACTTTTAAGTTAAAAGTCCTCAGTGTAATACCATTTAAAGTGCTGTAAAATGTAAAGGGCCAATGAACTGTGTTAAGGGAAGTAGAGGACAAGTGTATATGGGAATTTTTTTCTTCTCACTCTTTTGCTTTTTTATTTTTTTCCTTTCTTTTCTGTTTTCGCTCCTTTTACTTCTCATATATTTGAGATCCCACATCTTCCTTCTAAAACACAAGACTACGTGGCTCTTATGAAATATATCTGTAAGTAAAATTCTGGCTATAATTCATATCTGCATTCTATTTCAACTTCTTAGATATGTGGCTTTTGATATAGCTCTGCTCTGCTTTTCTTCAAAGCATTGTAGCTTTGATCAGTGAACACCATTTTTCTTTGGAAATTCATCAATAGTTGTGGAATTCCTGCCCCACTTACTTGAAGGAGTTAAAGGATTTATATTGAATGAGGGCAACATAGTGTGGAAAAACAGTTTGTTCTTAAAGATCGTATCAGAATGTCTGTGTTTATCATAGCAGGTGGCTGTGCAGTTGAGAGTAAGAAAGGATCCAAAAAGCTGTACTGTAGAATCATTATCTTTGCTGGATGCGTTTCAGGAGCTGTGCTTCAGGCTAGCTCTAGCCCAGCCCTTTGGACTTGAATGTCCATGAGCTACTGAAGTACAGTCAAATCTCATTCACTATTCTGAAACTTGTCTGAAATTGCTGACATAGACTTTCATTAAATTATATTTACTAATTTATGAATCCTTAATATAGTCAAAAGAGAAAGGAAGGTTTTATAATTAAGATGGTTGAAAAATGACTTGGAGAGTGTCTTCTCCTCTTGTGGTCTTTTGCAGGGTCTTATGTTTAGTCAAATGATTTTAAACTACTGTATTCAGAGGTAGTCATCAGTTGCTCCTTCTTTCTTAGACTTTATTTTGACATCTTAGATTTGTTTGTTTGTTTGTTTGTTTTATTCTCCCTCAAAATGGTAAACTGAAATGGTTGACAGCTCAGTTTGATTGTAGAAGGTTGCATATAAAACTATATTCTCATAAAAACTAAGTTTTAGTTTATGGGACTTCTAGTGATAATTATATATGAACTATACTTATGCTATAGTGATCATCACCAAATGGTGAACAATAACTCCATGAGGCTCTTTGTCAAGGTAGGTATCTTTCTGTGATTTAACATTACTACTAAGAGAAATAGTCAGAATTACCTGGTTATTGTAGTTATTTTGGTTGGTTTTCCGTGGGCCGGAGAACTCAAACTGTAATTCAATGTATTAAAAGATAGTATTCTTATGTAAGTGAGGCTTTATCGCTTATTTGAGGCACATCATTAATGAATTTACTTGACAAAAAAATATGTGTGAGAAATCCTATAATATTTCTCTGCTTTGAACATTTGCCTTTAAAAGTGTAATAATATTGGTCTTTTAATTAAACGGCGCTTTCTCCCTGTTCCCATTTCTATCATTTGAAATAGCACAGCAGGTAATGCCTATATAAATCTGCATTTTCTTTGTGAACAAACATTTTTAAGGGGAGGGAAAAGACAAACAGGATACTCTGACAGTGGGTTCCAAAGGTAACATCTTGTAAGTAAAGGAAGCCTAAAAATTCCCATTTCAGATTCTAGAGAAGAGTTTACTGTTGAGGTGCTCTAGTATCCTAGTCTTATTCTTTCCTGATTACCCAAATTGGTGCCTGTCCCATTGCTGAAATGCCATCCTCCAGGCTTTTCATTTTCTACTCAGATGTGGGTTTTGTTTTTGTTTTCCCCCATATGTCCAAATCCATCTTTGCAGTACTTGGCATCCTTATACTTTGTCACTCTCTGATATTAATTATACTTATATTGTTTCATTAACTGTAGTGTTACTTATTTTGATCTCTGTTATAAAGTGACAAATGTTTTAATCAGGTTTATCATATTTTTTGATATTTAGTATATGTCCTCTAAGGCACAGTGAGGACTTCTTTTTTAATCTTAAAAATTTAAGAAAATTAGGATCATACATGTATGGTTTTGCAGTTGTCTTAGCCTGGTTAAAGATGATGTTGAAGCTGAAAGACAGGACTGCTGCTGACTGCCATTATCTTATGAAATCTTTGTAAGTTGCAAAGTAAACTTAATGCAGCTACTCTCTGAGCAACTTAAAATTTCCTTAGATTGATAGTTTTCAAAGTTATGATAACTTTGCTAAGACTTATTCTTTAGATAGCTTATTTATATTTGCTGGTATGCTGATTTTTGCTAGATTTAGCTTTTCAGATACTGCTCTTCAGATCAATCTTAGCATGCTTTATTCTTATGTTTTTTTTTTATTTCTTACATTAGCATCTGAAGTCCGTGCATCTCAAAATGTGGCCGCTGATGTTCTTCTGGAGCACTCTGTGCCTTCTTCCTGCCTTGTTCCTTCTGACTCATTCACTTTATCAAGTGATAATGTGGCAACAGCTGTTCAAACTGCTAGCAGTGTTTTAAATGCAACTGTACTTAAAGAACAGGTAAAATCACAGTTCCTCTGTTTTATAGTGAGAGGTTGATATATTAAATACCACAGCATTGTACCTTTTCTTACCAAATCTAGATTAACTTGCCTTGTAAGAGCAAAAGCTGGATCTTGAATGATTTCTGAGATTTTTTGACTTCAAAATGCAGTATATTTTCATTTTTTAAAGACTGTGGAACATGAAGGAGAATAATGCAAAAATCAGTAATAACTGTAAGACACCATGTTTCATATGGTCTATAAGAGAAGTGTATTAAAGTGTAGCTAATGATTAATACGTTAAAGGCATACTGATGCAAAATGGATAAAAGTAGGAGACAGCAGCCAGAAAGTTCTCCAAGAAAATTTATTGATTTTAAAGCTGCAAAGATTATATTGGTAAAGACCCTCATACTTGTATATTTTCTCAAGATTTTAGAAGTAAAAAATCTTTAATTAACTTTAATTGTATTAATTTCTTCTTTACATAAGGTTTTTACTCGCCCTTCTTTCTTACTGCGTTTTTATTTTTCATCCTCTCTCCTGATCTGCTACAGGCCTAGTTGTGTTTGTATGATCTCTTTGCTGTTTCAATAGTTCTGAGAACTGGTGTTTTGAGGGGCTTAAGGGGTGCAGGGGATGTAGATGGTTGGAGAATAGAGGCTTATTTTTACCAGATAAGCTGTTGGGCAAGAGAGGGAAAAGAATTTGTGTATGGAGATCAGCAGAAAAATGCAAGACTGCTGCAGACAAAAATTCAGTTAATGTAGCCTGCTGTGAAAACTGAATGTTTACTGAAACTGTTTACTGCTCATGGTGAACTTACAAATTTACGTTTCAGTTTTAAATAATCTAACATTTTCAAAAGCTATGTATTTCAGAATAAAGCTTGTTTCATGTATTTTTTTGCTAGAGTTTTTTAGACATCTTGGGCAAAATAACTTGTTTTGCTTAAACTAAGCAGTCTTCACATGTTCACAGTTGCAAAAGGAATGGGGCTAACACAACTCCACTATTTTAATCTTAGTCACCTTTCAGATCCCCTTTTGTATATTTTTTCCAGCCTGAGGAAAGTCTATAAGAAGTGAAGAACTATACCCAAAAGCAAACAGTGCTTATGAATTCATAGAAATCGAAATGTGTTTTTGTTTGTTTTTTGTTTTGTTTTGACTCATAACAGTCAAGATACTTTCCATATAGAAAGTGCTTTCTCTCCTTCTCTGACATTATTTTAATAAGCATTTTTTTAAACTAGGAGGATAATCAACATCTGCATGTCTTCATCCACAGTAGATTCTTTTTTCTTTAATTCTAACAAGCTACTGACTGACCCATAGCTCCATAAACACAAGAATATGGATAAACATAGTTCCATAAACTAAGGAGTATAATATTAGCAAACATTTCCAAGGGAAATGGCAGATAAGGAAAAGGCATTTAGATCATCTAGTCCAACCCCTCTTCTCAGGCAGGGACACCTAGGGCGTGCTCTAATCCACACAGGTTCTGAAGATCTCCAAAGAAGGAGTCTCCACAACATCTCCGGGCAGCCTGTTCCAGGGCTCTGTCACCCTCACAGTAAAGAAATTCTTCCGTATATGGAGATGGAACTTCCTGTGTTTCAACTTGTACCCATTACCCCTTGTCCTATCACTGGCCACCACCGAGAAGGATTTGGCCCCTTTTTTACATTCTCCCTTCATGTATTTGTACATGGTGATAAGATCCCCTCTCAGTCTTCTCCAGGCTAAACAGGCCCGGCTTGCTCAGTCTTTCCTCATAAGATAGATGCTTGAGTCCCTTAGTCATCTTCGTTGCTCTACGTTGCCCTAGAAGTTCCACCTCCCTCTTGTCCTGCACACAACACTCCAGGCGCAGCCTCACCAGAGCTGAGTAGAGGGGCAGGATTTCCTGCCTTGACCTGCTGGCAGCACAGGATGTCTCAGTAATTGCAGTGAGATCATGGCCTTGCAATTGCACACGCATCTCCCATTCCCTTGTTTATTCCCCATGTGGCATGGGTTTACATAGAGGCATTTTAGCTGGGCTGCTGATGTGCCTCTCTTCCTAGCTGAGGCAGCTGTAACTTGACTATGTGAGCCTTCAGTAGTTGTCGTATTTTGCTGCTTTCCCTCTCTAAGCTTCAGGCATCCTTTGCTGGTTGTGGAATTAGGCTGGTGTGAATGGCATGGTATTTCATCCCCTACCTTATCACCAGCTTCCCTGATGATTCCCTCCTCCCCCACTGAATTCAGTTTAAAGCCTTCTTTAAAGCCTTCTCATATTAACCATATTCTTCAGTTTTTGCATCTGCAGAGCCTCTCTTCCAAGTCCAACATCATTATTGACAGTACAAGGCTCAAGATAAGAGTGGTACTCGAAGGTAGAATTACAGTGTATAGCTTCTCTTTGCTTCTCATGGGAGGGAAATTCAGAGCACAAGTTTCCGCTTGCTTTTTGCCTGCTTTGTCTGCTGGATCTATGTATGCATGTACACTCATGACGTCTTAAATGGCTGTTTTTATGTTTATTTGAATCCAAAGATGCTCATCTAGTAATCAAAAGGCCAATTCATTATGTGAGCATCTGCTAGGAATAAAAGGACCTAAGGGCACAGATTAAATTAGACATACT